CGTGACAGGAGCCTGACATGTAGTCGTAGTAGAAGTCCATCTCCTACAAGAAATAGAGGCAGAAAGACATCTAGTAGCAAAGGAAGGAATAGCTGAACTTGCTGGAGACTTACTTTCAAGACTTGGATGTGTTTTGAAAAATATTACCTCTAGTTCTATTAGATCAGTTGTACATTGTTGTGCCCTAAAATAAAGCTGTTATGTATGCGCTACCCTATCTTAAAAGTTTTGCAATAAATTGTAAGAAAAAAATGAAACACATTCCCTGGCCCTTGTTTAATTAACCTGCTGTGGAAAGTGGATGTTCTTTTTAAAAATTATTTAGCTAAAATAATATTGTGTTGTAATGTAAGTTACAACAACTGAAGTAACAAAAATCTTTGGTTTACACTTTGTTTATGAATAAGTACATTAAATGTCTACTATACTTTCACATTTGTCCAGTTACATTTTGATTATATTTCCATTAAGCATAGTCTCCATATTACAAAAACAAAAAAAACTCTCTGAAGAAAAACAGTACTTGCTAGAATCGCCATGCCTTCTCCATCCTGCTTTCTAAATGTGATAGTATATCTGTCTGTGCTGGCCATGGGAGTTGTCAGACTGCTGTGGAGTATTAAATTTGTTAAATGCTTTCTTCTCTATGGCACCATTGCATAAAATGATGATTAATTTAGAAGTCAAGAACTTGCTTATATAATGTGTCATTTAAAACACCTTTTTAACATATAAATAAGCTCAAATTGAGCTCAATTTATATCTCCAGCCTGGGGATTTCCTGGTGGTTTCCCATCCAATTTTATTCAGTTATTTTGAGATTAGCCAAGGTCAGCTTGGTGTTGCCACCTGCTGTGACCTGAACACAGGTAATATAAATATGCATCTATAAGGGTATCTTTCATGCATAGCTGTTGATCTTGGATTTTTTCAGTTAGGCATGCTATTCAAGTTCCTTGTCCTATAGTATTTTTTGCATACTTGTGGATTGCATTTTATTCCTTCAAAACAACTGGATCTTTTTTGGAAACTTTACAAAAGATTTATGATAACCACATCCCCAAAATGTCAAATTCCTTTTTGTTAAGGAAGCAGATATTCAATTTGCCTCAGATTTAGTAACTCCACCTATAGTAAAACTACTGCTTTACAAAGCAACTAGAATTTCATATATTGCAACATTTTTTCTTAAGTATACTTCCATCTATCATAGGACTATAAAACTAGAAAATCAGAATGTGGTATTATAAGACTTAACAAATTTTATTATAAGACATAGATTTTGCGAATTGCACCTTTTTTCTTGATTGCCTCATTCCTCTGCATTTAAATCCTTTATCAGTTAAGCTGCTGCATTATCTCATGAAATGACCTGTAGCTCACAGAAATTTATAATAAAATTTCAAAAGATGCTACAAGTCATATGTTTGGCTACCATAGAGTAACATGGGTCTCAGTTGGCAAATTTGTCTTTCAGTTTTCAGTAACTGGTATCAGTAAGTTTAACATTGCTTTATTTCCAAATATATAAAGCTGTATCATACACATAGAGTCCATTATAGTTGCAAATGACTACAGATTAATTCCATGCACTGGTAAAACAGAAATGAGCAGATGTTGAGCAGCCCCATTACTTTTTAAAGAAATAGCCTGTTATTGCTACAATGATTTACATAACATTTCAATAACTTACCTTTAAAAGAAGGCAATATTGGTATCTTGGGCTATTTAGTAGTCTGCTTACACAAATATTCCATGAATTTTTTTAATACACAGGCAGTGATGGAGTAAAAATGGACATTTATTACAACTAAACCAGTGTACACGGCTTATCTTACATCACAACACTTTTTAAACAAACACACAAGGTAACAGTGCAGACCTTAAACATGGTTTTAATGCACAAAAATTGTTTTTGACATTTTAAAATGTCAAGTAATTCCACTCTATTTCAATCTCTCACATAGCAAATGGACCATTCTAATGCCATGTGAACTTCATTCTTCCAGTGCCCATTAAGTTAAACATAGGGCTCCAGTGTATGTATTTCATGTAATCTTTACTAATTCCATAACGCTTCTATTGGACTCAGCATAATAATCTTTCTGATGTAGCATTATATTAATGCATTACAGTATTTCAGAATATCAATTATAGAAAATTGATCCACCAGAAGGCAATTTAGTAGTTACCTATGAGAAAGTATACACACACAAATATATGTAAAGCAATTTTTCCAGAAATAAAATGCTCTGAGTGAAGTTTGCTTCAAACGAATTACAGATATTTAGCAAAATGCACATGAGGATAAACAAAATATGGCTTTGTAATATCCATGCAGTCTGATCCTATGCATATTTAGAAGTTCTATTTTATTTTGATATGTACTACACTATAAAAATGTGCATATGGCAGCCAAAACTGAACAAGCTGAGCAAAGGCATGGTGTAAGGTTTGCATCTCTGCTTGTATTCACAATGCACTATGATTAAATCTAGAATCTAATATGGAATAACATTAATGGGCAGCTACAATTAGTAACATAGCTGTTCAGATTGACTTCAAACACACAACAGATAATACTGGTAACAAGTAGATATTTTCTAACAGTTCTTTTTTTGTCAAGTGTATTTCAATACTGAATTTATCCTTTTGAAAAGACAATTTCAATACTTAGGATTATAAAAACTGACACACTTTATATAACTTCAATTTATATTCCCTTTGCAAAATATTAATTCAAGTTGGAATTTCATTCCAAGGAGTTTTTACAATGCTTATAACTGACTTTTTAGAAATGAATGTCATGACATCTTACAATAGTTTGATTTGGAAATCTTGATATAATTCTTTGGTATAAATAAAACAGCTGTAAATACTTGTTTAATCTTATGTGACAACTTAAAATGACTTAATAAAAGTCTTTGGCTATATACAAAGCCAAGTCCCTTTGTTAACACATTTCACATTACCACATGTAATAGTTTTCAGCATATAACACAAACTACAGTATTGGATACATTGTTTTGGCAAAATGATTCACAAAAATAATTATTGAAATTGTCATCTATGAGTCAATATTTTAAAACTAAGATGGCTTAAATTGCTGTAAAACCCCTTCCCCAATTTTAAAAGGTTTAAAAATTTTGCTCCCTTTTTAACTTTATAATAAATAGATTTTTTCTCATAGACCTGAATATAAGTAGCTTAGCAGAACAATAATACTGACAAATAGCATCATAACACCATTAGCTAACATTACATGGAGGCAGTGAAGATTTACATTTATATGGGACACTGTAAAGACACCAGAAAAGATTTTAAGTCAGTCCAATCTCTTCAAGAACACTACGAGGGGTCTCTGCTTCCTGTGGAGAAAAAAATAGAGAATTAACAGGGTTTTGTTTTGTTTTTTGCTTCTACCAAGCTAGGTATATCATATTAAGAAGTATATGAATTTCAGGGAGTTACATCTCACCTTTTTGTAATAAACTGTATTTGACACACTTCCCACTTCCTGCAATTCTTTCCTCCTTTCAACTGAGTAGACTGGAAACAGTTTCTATTATGTGAAATGCTTTGATAAAGGAGAGAAGGCAACCTACACACAGGCTCTAGCCATTTTGATAAGTGTGATCTGATTAAAGAATTCAACCAAAGTAGCAGTGTTTGAGATAAAAACTGTAGATATTTAATGAATATGGATAAAATCTTTAGAAAATAACTAAAGGCCAATTAAAATGTTATTTCTGCTAGTGAAGTTAATTAATGTTTTAAATGTTCAATTTCAAATAAAATGTTAAAGCAAGTTCTATTTTCCTTATAATATACCAATGTACTCAAAGAACAGCCAGTAATTTTTGTATAAAAACACTTACTTTAGCATCCTAAAAAGGGTATAGCCAAAAAGAAAGAAAATCAGAATTTTAGCAATATTTCCATATAAACGTAACAAGTATGCAAGAACATGAGAGCCCGTTTGGTCTAGTAGTTAAGACACCAGGCTAGAAACACCATGAGTTCAAGTCCTGCTTTAGCCATGAAAGCCATCAGAATCACTTTGGGTCAGTCACTCTCTCTTAGTTCAACTCATGTCATAGTTGTTGTGGGGAAAATATGAAATGGAGGTGTGTTGGATATGTTTGCCACCTTGAATTATTTACAAAATAGTAAAGGCGGGATATAAATAAAAAAAATAATCAAAATTCTGAATTCCCAAAAGGAAGGCACTATTGTAACAACTCTGAATTGTGTTAGTAACTAGCACTTGCTCTATTTAGATATTATTCTGTACTGACATATATAAATTTGATATAGAGAATTGGGTTTTATCATAATTCTGTTATGAAAAAAAAAGTTTTTATTAGATTCATCATTCTGAAGGTTCATCATTCAGCAGATTTACTACCAGGGAATGCACCCTCTTTCATTATGCAAACTTCCAAAAACAAGATTGGCTTAGAGGATGGACAGATTCCCACAAAGGTTACCTTTCAAGGTCACCACTTGATCCTGGCAATTTCTCATGAAAGTTAGAGCTGTAATCCAATAAATACAGCTGGATTTCACCTGCATTAATAGAGCTCTTTATGTGAAGTGTAAATTAAATTGAATCTTTATTACGGTCATAGGCCAGCATAACATAACAAAGATACACTACTTTTATCTAACAAGAACCTGCATACCCTTATTACTGTATGCATTTTTGTATCATGGTAGTCTTTTTAAAAATTTGTGTTTTACACTTTTAATAATGTACTATGAGCAATGATACAGCATACCCTCAACAAGTCTGAATCTCAAATATTACTTGGGGAAAGTAGCTTCCAAGGGGTGTAAAATAGCTCTTTGGGAATGTGCAACTTTTTAGAAATAGCTGAATTTAATCTTTTATCAGAAGGGTTTCATATGTCTGCAAATCAGAATTAAGGTAAATTCCACAATTATGAATTATTTCACAGCAAAAAAATGGAAGGGAAAAAAGCCAGTCACATGAGAAGTGCATGCAATAGTTTATTACAGTCATGCGCAAAAAAATCCACAGTAATTTACAAGCATGCAGCTACATAAAGGTACAACAATACTGCACCACTATCAGCACTCCATTTGCAGCAGTTTGAAGAGCCAGACATTAAAAGAATGCAAAGCAGCATTTACCATGTACGTTCACAGAAGCAATACCATATACATTCAGAGAGGGAGAGAGAGATCTGCAATATAAACGCTTCTTGCATGCCTCCCAGATGTAATGGGAAGTAATGTTAATCCTGTGCTTGAAATGACGACTGTCTCTAATATGCTGTATCTATACTTAATTATATGCAGAAACCATTTTCTTTTTTAACTACCATTTTGAAAGTCTAACTTTGTAACAACAGTCATGTCTCTCTTTTTATTATGACTTTTTGTTTTAGAATAAAATCAGGAGGGTTTGGTAGTGGCTTCTGTACATTTATGAACATTTTTATTGCTATTGTAACATTAGGTTCAGCTCCATACATGCATTGAAGATATCCATATAAATCTACTCTAAAATATTGAAATTAATGAAAGACTACATGCAGAAGAAATACCTTATGCACACTTTAGAGAATGCAAGATCAATGTGCTTATTTTTTAAACTTATTTAGCAGTGAAACAAATCTGTTTAATATACATATATCACAATTTGGGGCCTTCAGGGTTGTTTTTCATGATACGTTTAGAAGGCGCTACTTAGAAAACATTTTGTTTAGTGGGATAAAGTGTATAAGTTAATATCAGTGGATTTCTATGTGATAGCTACATAAATTAGATTTATATACATTTTGACAGACTACCATACCATGGGGTTGAATATTTAAATGATATAGTGAGGCTAAGCAAAGTATTTGAAGCTAAAGTTTTACATGCTATGTCAAGTACTAATGAGATAGATTTAAATATTTTAACATGAACATTACAGCATGCTGACAAAACATATGAAGAAAAACAAACACTGCAAATGGAAGGACAAGGAAAAATACAAACAGCAAAAACAAAACACACAATTGTGATATACACTAGCTTGTTCAGGATGATTGGATTCACCAAGCTGAGGAAAAGCGTTCTGCCATGAGAAAATCAGTTCTAGCGCCTCTCTGTGTGCATGATGAATGAAGTCATTTAGTATACTGGGACATTAAAGTATTCATGACGTGGCTATAAAAGAAATGTATATTTTTTATAAACAGCACAAAAATTAGCATGCATATAATAAAACAAATGGATTTATATTACTTCTATTCTTCCCTATTCTGATGTTTTACAATTATGTAATAATGATGATAGAGGTTTAAGAAAATATATTTTATTGTACCGGATGATTTAACAAAATATATTTAATATCCTGCGTGGTTTGCTTTAAACTAAGTTTGTGATGATTGATATGTACACTGTTACTGCCAGACACCCATTATTTTTTGCCCAGCAGTATGTTTAATTACAGAAAATAGAATGTATATTCAATTTGCATGTTGAACAAGCTATTTGAAAGATGTTTCTGATGTTGTATCAAATAATATTCAATTGTATCATTACTGAATTTTATGGCAATGTATGTAAACTACAATGAATTTATGTTCAAATTTTATTCTTCTTCAATGATGCAATCATAAATCATGTCTTTAAGGGCTGCAATCATAACAATAAACTCATTCTTTTTAAGCTGTTTTAAAACTATCTGTATTAACATTCCAGGCCAACTAGCTGTTAATCCAATTACCCAGGGATGGAGAACTGGCATCATTAATTTCCTACATTTTTTCGTGCTTATCTTAAGAGCAAAAATAATATACCATTCATAAAGCTAGTTCTATAAACAACTATAGAGACTATAGTTTTTCTGTATATAAGAATGTGCAGGCTTTCAAACATAATAATCAATTAATAATGGTAACTGTGAATATTTCTATAAGTCTATCTCAGAAATATAGGTTTCCCTGAAAATAATGAAATGGAAAGTATTCCTAAAACAGATACCCTAAGATTAATTCATTTAATGAAGAATATTTTATAAATTTCCATGTTAACTTGGCAAATTGTAAAAGTACATTTTCCCAGACATCGTATGAACATATTCAGTTATCTTTGTCTTCCCAAACACATTGTGATTAATATAACCAAACTCATAAAATTAAATACTCTCCACATCCCTAATTTGCATATGTGCAGTCTTCTCCACATTCTTTCAATGCTTATAAACTGGTATGCTAGGATTACATTTTTTCCTGCAGTTTACCAGATTGGCCTAATAACTACATCGCCTTAATATGGATTTTCACTTCATAGATGCTCAGGTTTTTAACTAAAAGTGATTAAATAACACCATTTGATGGTTAATGTATTTACATTATTTTTGTTTTATGGAAATATTAAAAGTTATAGGTGAAACCTTTCTATGGAAAGGTTCAGAAGTGAAAATAAACTATCTGTATCTTGTGTAGTCAAAAATCAAACAATTCTCAATTCTATCTGCTAAAAATCAAACTCAGTTGGGTTGGGCAAGTCATTCTCTCTCAAAGAGTTTTGTAGGAAAAAGAGGAAGGAGCATTAGGTATGTTTACCACCTAAAATAATAAAGGTGTGTGTGTGTATCCATCTTTATTATTTTATACACACACACACACAGAATATTTAAATATGTAAACAATAAAAATAGGATTTGAAGAAAAAGGTGGAGGTTTTTTTGGAAACTGTAGTCAGAATAAGAGAAGCTGCAATTTGAAAATATTCCAAGGGGCATGGGGAACTGAAGACAACTATGCAAGAGCATAGCCCATGACTACAGTGAAAAAAGGAGCCAATTGCTCCTCAAACTCCTCTCTGGATTAAGGTGAGAATTTGGGATGCCCAATGTTTTCCTGCAACAAGACTGTAAAACATTAGTCTTCAGTAGGTTTTAGAGCTCTGAGAGCCAGGAGTCAGTCTTGGCCAAGCCATGGTTCAGAGACTTCAAGAGACACTGGATTCACCTACTACCTTTCTTAATCACTTTCACTGGAAATGGTTTGAAAATTGTTTTATGGATATTAAGAGCCTTCAGAAGGACAAGTGTTATTACACTAGGAGCTGTTCCTTCAATCCTCAGACATAGGAGATTTATGTAAATTTAAGAAATTAAAAATGTTATTTGAAAATAAGTAGCAAAAACAGAATTAGAATGCTAATTTTGGAAAGGTTTTAAATGGACAGGGTCCATCTAAACTGGAAATAAGATTATGAAATAATTATAAGAATATTCCTGTAGTTTGTTTAAAATCCTATTAAAAATATATGAAGATTTTGAATTTTAAGTGTAAGAAATTTTTCCTTGGGAAATTTTTGTGGATAGAGGAAAAACAGGAAAAAAGGAGAACTTGAAGTTTGGTTATTAGAGGCAATTAGAAAGGTCTAATTAAAGGAGAAGGTTTTATTATAAAATAGAGAGAATTATTTTAACTCTGGAGGAATTCAAGGATATTTAGCAATGGTATATTCAGAATTTTCTTTTTAGATTGTCCAATAATATAAAATGGATTCACAAGAGGAGATAGAAGAGGATGCAACTGAAAACCAGGATGATTTGGATATGGATTTAAAAATGACAGGATGCAAAAGTGATCTAACAAGATAGGTGGCACATACATACCAGTACACACACACGTACACACACGTACACACACACTGACAAAGATGTTATACAGAATTTACAATAAAAACAAATGATGTTTTAATAGCTAAAGGGGCACAAAAAATCATAAATCAAAATGGTGATTCATTGGATGTATAGATTCCAACTCAGAAAAGTAACTTGGACAAGTTTTCTTATTTTTGAACTTACAAAAATATGTGTGTAAGAGTTTCCAAGAAAAGAGAATGAAAAGAAATAACCTTTTGAGCGTTCCTTAAAAGTGTCAAGACTTTTAAAACTAAAAAGATGGTTTATAAAGTTGGCTTATAGATTCCTGAGAAAGTTGTTTAACCAACTGAAACCTTCTTATGACAGCCCACTGCTAACAGCTTTTTTCATAACCAAAATATTTGCTGCTTTTACTTAAAAGCTATGAAATTTTAAAATATATCACAATTAAGAATTAACCTATTGACCAACTGTTTTGAAAAATGGGATCAGAATGAACAGCTACTCCCTCTACTGCTTGAATCAAAGCAAGAGAACAAGCAGCTTGTCTTGAATTCCCATTGTTTTTATGGTCAGAATACTCAAACATTTTGAATTTTATTTTGATGGAATCCTTCAATTATTCTGATTTTTTTTCAGAAGTCCAGTTGCCTTCTGAAAAAGCACCTTTGGAACAACCATGATTTGGATGGCAGAGAATCTCCATAGACTTTTAGCTACATACTTTGGATGAACACCCTTCTAATGCTGTGAGAGTATGAACAGATTTCCAGGGAAAAAATATTGCAGAATAGAGGAATCATTTGCACTTCAGTTTGAGATGCAGACAACACAGACACATCTTTAACAGCCTGCGTCAAGAATCCCTCAGTGATCTGTGTTTTGCTTGTTCAGATCTGTTCCAAACCAACAGAGAATCAGTGGACAAGATAAAAACAATAAGAATTATGGAAGGAAGTGATCATAATTCCAGGAGGCTCAAGATATTGTAGAAAGAAAAATTGGAGTGCAATTAATACATGCACAAAGCTTAAATTAGTATTAGGGAGCAACCCATGGTCAAAAATCACCAGGCCAAAGGATCTGCAGCACAGCTCCAAGAGCATTTGCATACTATTCCAATTATGGCAAGAAGAGGGCAGAGTTCCTCTATTCCTATTTTGCTTCAGTTGTGAGATCAAAAAGAAAAAAGAGTGGCAACTAAAGAAATCTGAGTGTCCTGAAGAAGCTAATGGATATCATTTTGGAGCATATATGATTTTTAAGAAATCATGGAGAATAGACATAATGCCAGACAATTGGAAAGGGTTAAATATCTTCAAAAAGTTATCAAAAAGATAACTGGTAAGTAGAGACAGACAGCTTTGACAGGGCAAAAGTGAGACACAGATTATTCAGCAGCAGGTTTGAAGCAGGAGTTTATCCAAGTTTAATTAGAATAAATCATGCTACACCATCCTGATGAATGTCTTGACTTTTTCCTTCCCCCCCCCCCCCCCAAGGGTGACCTATTCAATTGCCACAGAAACATAGTAGACACAGCATACCTAGAAAACTATTCAACAAAGACTTCCATGAGATTCTAGTAGAGAATTATACGAAAGAGATAAAATGTGATCAGGGCATGCTATGTTTATAAACAGTACCACCATCAGTCATTCTCAGCCCAACTCACCTCACAGAGATTTTGTTGAAGGGGAAATAGGAGGAGGAAGGAGTATTAGGTATATTTGCCATCTTGAGTTATTTATAAAATAATAATAAAGGCAAGAAAAATAAATAAAACAAATACAGAGCTAGCTGAACAATCATATTACACTAATGACTTCACATTAAGATGGAAACAAGTATTAAGCAGCATACTACAAAGCTCCGGTCTGGCCCAATTTGTTCCACGTCTATAAAAGTGCTTGAATGAAGAATTAGAACATATACTTAACTCATGTGTAATGAAGCAAAGTTAGTACACATAACAAACAGATGATAATATTAATAATAAGATTCAAAAGGATCTTGAAAAGTAGAAACAATGAGTGGAAACCAGCACAATACATTCAATCAGAAAATTGCAAATCCTTACATTTGGGCAGTAAAAAGATGCAGTTTTATTCTTAACGAAATACTTCTTCAAATTTCTACATACTATATACTGTATAATGAATACAAATAGCTACAAATATGACAAGGTAACAGAGTTAAGGCTCTTATTTTAAACCTGAAGAAACTAATTTCATAACCTTTCCTTCATTACAAATGTAGGGTAAGAGGTGAAAAACCTGTCAAGCACCCAAGCAAGTATTGTGTAGGGGTCTATGTCAAAATGCGGGATAAATACGGTATTTTTCGGAAGTTCCGGACTATAAGACACATCTAGGTTTTGGGGAGGGAAACAAGGGGGGGGGGGGGGGAAATGCCTCTGCCTCTGCTTCCCAGCAATTTGCCTCCTTGCAGCAAACAGCAAACAGCCTGGTCAGCTTCAGCACAGCTTGATTTACCACGAGCAGCTGATTGGCAGTTGGATCTGCCTCCCAGAATACCGCCAATCAGCTGTTCCAGGCTGTGGGGATCACCGTTGCCCATCAGCACTGTCACCACCCAGTGGCAATGGGCAGCATCAGCGATCCCCACAGCCTGGAACAGTTGATCAGTGGTATTCTGGGAGGCAGGTCCAATCGCCAATCAGCTGCTCATGCTGAAGCTGACCAGGCTGTTTGCTGCTTGCTGCAAGGAGGCAAATTGCTGGGAGGCAGAGGCCAAAGGGTGGAGTCTGGCGGGTGGGCAGGGCTTTGGCAACATTCGCTCTATAAGATGCACAGACATTTCTACTCACTTTTGGGGGGGGGGGGTATGTCTTATAGTCCAAAAATACAATACACTTTCAGAGACAGTTGAATTCTACAGATCATATGGAAATCAACTTGTTTGGAGCAATTGAGAAATGCCAATAGAAAAGGTATGGGTTTTTTAACCCTCAAGATGATGGGAATGAATTCTGTATCCAAAATAACTAATTCCATGGTCAATTAGGTCAGATGAATAAGTCTTCTACAGAAATGTGACTGTATATAAGGCCTGATCATACAACCTTCTATATCTTTGTTTTATATTTAATTAGCATCACCATGAATTGAGTTTTGCATTAACTACATGAAGCATGCCATCATAGAACACTTGTAGTTATTTTTATATCTATGTTGAGAAAAAAGGCCTATTTAATTATATTCTTACAAACGCTATATGTGAAAAAGTATGAAATAGCTGTGAATAAGGTGTAGTTACTTGTTTTCTTGTTATTCTTTGTTAACCAAACAAATAATTCTATACCTTAATGCCGATTGATGACTGTAATAAATTTTAGTTATTTATAATACTACATTTCTAATTAAGTCAGATTACTGATCTACAGATTACTGTAGTTCTTGTTTTAATAAAGTAATCTCATGAAGTTGATTAAAGTTTTCTTAATAAAAATAAATAATTCTACATATTAAGTTCAGTTATCATGGACAGAAGTTAAATTACCCATTATAAATGTTAATTATCAAGTAATTATCATGAGGGGAGTACAAAACAATGATTTCAAAATAAGATTTTAATATTACCAGAGGACTTCCAATGCTGTTCTGATCTTACTGGAAGTATTCTGAGTTTAAAAAGGAAGCTACTTTCACATCATTTTAAATGCTATCCAACAAGAAATTGAAATAATTCCATCCATTCCTGACATATATGCCTTCATGATACTTGGAAAAATGTGAGAAAAAGGAAACAGAATAATCAATATTCTTGTCACAGTATAGGTCGCAATGCCTACTTCAAATTCTTTGTTGATAGCGGGAGGCATTTCTCTTTGTTTATATTGCTCATGTCTTTTTTGTTTACATTTTATTGATTTTATCTTTCAATACATGTGTCCTTAGAAATTTAATGTGGGAGATTAAAAAGCAAAATATTTTAAGATGCAGAAACTTTACAAGGATTTCTCCTGATCTGAACACAGCTCAGAATCTTTTTGTCCATTTTATAAATATATACGGTAATGTTTTACAAAATGACTGTTAAAATTTTCCTTAACCTTATCTGGTAGGATAACTTTAAAACATAACCTACCTATACTTGACAATCTTGATGAAATATTAAATCACTATGAGACCAACACTGCTGATATAGGCAAACTTCACAATGCAACATGCTGATCACATTTAAGACTCCTTTTTTACATACTATCAGTCCACAACTAATATTAATATGTTTAAAATGACATTGATTTCTATGAAGAAAAGCACAAACTTATTAAATCAGTTAAAATTATAATTACTTAGGTTTAGTCAAATTGTGTATTTAATATGCTTGTTTATGAGACAGTCACAGTAAATAATAATTACATGTATCAGTACATAATTTATCATGTCAATTTATTGTTTTTGATGGAGAGTAACATTTAGAATACTTGCTATCAACATTTTTAAAGTTTTGTCTTATTTCAACTTCGGAAAAGCTATTCCAGAAGCTTGAGAATTTTACCTGAAAGATGCTATTCATTCTGGTATAAACATGCAGCCTTGTATCCAAGCCATTATAGTTGATAAAAGAACATTTTTGTAAAGTTCTATAATTTAAAAGCCTATTGATAAACATGCTTAATTGATCGTTATAATTTCTGCTTTATCAACATTTTAAATGCAGGACTAAACATGGTTAATTTTAATTAATGCATTTAAGCCACATTATTTATGAGGAACATAAATTCATTAAAAATAAATAAAATACATTAAAATATTTTTAGATGATTATTTTTCCTCATGCACCCTTTTTTATGGAATATGGGATTTAAAAGTGGCAATTACACAATGATATTTTAAGAAAGTCAGATGTTGAAATAAATTGGGACAAATATATCTTTTGTCTTTAGGACAAATATTTATGCCAGCAATTCATCATGTATTACGTTAATTGTAAAATATTGCAGCTTTTTTCATGTACGCATTAAACTATATTTAATACACTTATCTTTTTCCTACTACAAGTCATGATACTGTATCTATCATAAAGAAAATAATTTAAACTACTTTATCAGACTAGTGATCTGTTTATTGGCTAATGTGGGGATCTTTTAAGCCATTTCAGCATACAAAAATCATTAACAACACTAGAACAAAACCATGCACCACACAATTCAAAATTGATGCCGTTAGTATGAAAAATCAAGATAGAACACCCAAAGCAAATGTCCATTCTGTCAAGCAAATATGACAAAGAATAAGTCCATTATTCGTCACTTTCTGTTCTTCTTCTTGCTTAACAGGCAAGGGTTCTTTTACACGTGCAAACCTCTGCAAAGCACTAATGTAATCCATGCCACCAAAAGGTAAATTTGGTAGTTACCAATTGTACAGGTAGGGGCCAAAGCGCTAAGGCTTTAGATTGTCCTTAATCATAAGATATCCTCAGACAAACCTCCCCAGTCTTCATTCTGGCTCTACAAACAAAATTAAGCACAATTGAAATTTTTATAGTGCATTTTGCATGTTTGTGTAAAGATAATCAACTTCACATAGGTTTATGGATATTAGTACTGTTTAGGTTTTTCTAAATGAGTGTTATCAAGTAAAAGGCTAGTGAAAATATGAAGAAAAATGAATGTATTACACAAATACACCTCACTTTTACCATATGATAAGCAGTGAGTCTTCACTTTTCCAGAGGGTTGCCAAACTCCTAATTAGGGTATTGATTTTCAGAATAGTAAGAGAATTGCTTATAAAAGCTATAGGAAATGTAGCAGTAGCAGGGACATGTTTCTTTTTCATTCCCTACTCTATTCATATATAAAAAGGTGATGAGTAAGAGGATTTTTTTTTAAGTAAGAGAAGATTGAATCCTTTCAGACAACCCTAAGAGGTAGTCCTTGATTTACAACCATTTGATTAATGATGGTTTGCAGTTATTATGGTCTTGGGAAAAGCAACTTACAACTCCTCCTTAAAGTTATAGCGATTGCACTATCTCCATTACCTGATCAAAATTCAGGCACTGAATTTATGATGACTGCAGTGTCTTGGGTTATGTGATGGCAATTTGTGACCTTTGCAGCTGTCTTCCAACAGAAAAATCAACTCAAGAAGTTGGATTCCCTTAACGACCACATGGTTCACATGAGATTTGCTGAACAACTGTGGTTTTAATGATCTCAGTAACAATGGTTGTAAAAATCAGGTCCACTCAAATGATGATTCATTTAATGATTCTCTTAACAACCAAAATTCCAGTCCCAATCACAGTGGTATGTTGGGAACTACCTGCAATGGATCTAGAAACATAGAAAGTTTAGTTCCATTCGGGGTGGGTGGGGGGTGGGAAACAGGACCCAATGAAGCTGCAAGAGAATAAAAAGTTCAGCATCTTTCTTCCACAAGCTTCTTTTAAGATCCTCTTCAAACTGTTTCTGTATCCAAATGCAGATTCTGCTCCAATTATTTATCAATTACTGTATCAGTACAGTCTATCAGCACTATATCTAAATTTACTTTAAGAAATTACAATGTAAAACACAAGAAATAATGGAAAGAAACAGCTTTAGCACAGTGTCGTTAGCATGTTAAAAATTTAAATTGAAAACACCAATTATCTAAGAAGGGTGGTGACAGTTTTAAAATTTAAAAGTTTGTAATTGAGATTATATAGCTTTTCTACATAAAAAATTTCCTGCATTATGAATGAGATTCAGTGATGTACAACTTCTCCAAAAATCAGGTACTGACTATGAGTGCCAATTAATTTATTTTAAACAGACATTCAGCATATATATTAATGAAGCAACATGTTTATATCTCTAAGATTGATTTTATATCACTACTATATCAATTGTATGTAGCTATCAGAGTGATAGAAATAAGATAAATGAGAAAAAACTATGACAACATACACAAGTATAACTCAACCTCTAACATAGATATTTCTTAGTTATCCATTTTACATTACATATTATTCTGTTAGTTTTCTGTAACTAGAATAACTAGTATGGGAGAGTGATAAAGTCATAATTTTATATGGACCAATCTAATGGTATTAGATGTAATATTATTACATTAGATATAAAAATATAACATAATACTGCGTTTCCTCCATTTGTTTAGGTATATAGGACTTTTGACGAAAACTATTTTTACTGAATCAAATATATTTGTATTTGATTTTAGGTTTCACAATCTGTATCACTAGTGACCTGAATAGTAATAACAGTCTAAAATGCGTATACAAAAGAACTTTGAATGCCTGTGCTTATTGCTTGCGCTTCTTTCCTCAGAGTATCAGTCTTGTAGGAATAACTAAGCAAGTTAAGAGTTATTTTCCTTAGCTGTTGTTTCCTCTATTGTAACTTTCCTTATATATTTTCAGCTCTTTATTATTTCCTCATATATTTTCAGCTCTTTATTATTTCTTTATATTTTTCAGCTCTTAATTATGACTCCAATTCAGCTTTCTCACAAAAACAATTAATGTGTCAGAACCAGATATTCATTAATATTTTAAACAAAGCCAGCTTAATGGATTGTCTTGAATAAATATTCACAAATCATTCCTACATTTCAACAGAATTTTACCTTGTGGGTAATTATAAAATTATAAATTGTGGCATTATAAAAATTCCTGCTTCTGCAAGTGGGTAATTGTCTACCTGCAGACCTGGCAAAAAAACCTGTAACCAACGATATACCAATTTGACAAAATAAAGTTGTAATGAAAAACGTTCATTTCAAAACCATATTAAACAAGTTCTTATTACGGATGATAACATTTTAAAATCAATTTCATTATATTACTAATAATAATGATAATAATAATGCCCAAATAAGAAAAAAATGTCCTTATATGCCTATACTTCATTGATGAGCATTTAAGTTTCATCCCTGTAATTAAGTGATGGGCAATGAAGCCCATCAAGCAGTGTCAAAAAAAACCATATAATCTTTATTCTTAAGGGGGAAGATTGTACAGTATTAATGAAAAATATGAGATAAGAAAATTGTTGGGAAATGCCCAGGCAGGCAGGGGAAAAAATTCAAGGGGGAATTATTGAATTGTTGCGCAGCCATAAGAGATCCAAGACTGATCCTCCACTTCAAAGCTCCACGAGAACTTATCTATCTATTCCCAAAGAAAGACTAGCAATCTGGGGAGATTCCTGTGTTTTGGCAGAATTCAATGAAGTAGTTAGTTGAACATGTGGCTCTGGTTGCTTGTGCCTGACATAAATCTGTCTTTGCCCAATTTTGCATAAATAATATTTTATTTTACTGAAGAGGTCACTGAATATAATGCACGTATTATTTACATAAGCAAAGGAATTATTCCTATACAAAGGAATAAAATGTATTAATTAGAGATCAAGCTAAATACTTATTAATTTTAAACTTTTAAACTTTTATTTTTTATTTCTACTCACCTAGTAGAGTCCTTTACTAATATAGTAGAAATCCAACACAGATATTATATTTCAAGACTCTACAAGGGAAGTATGTGGTTACAAATTCACTCCAGGTTAAAAAAGAAAACGTATTATTCAGAAATTCTTAAGAATACAAATGAATTCAGTGACAATTTTATTACCGTATATACTCGAGTATAAGCCGAGTTTTTCAGCCCATTTTTTGTGCTGAAAAAAAAACCCTCGGCTTATACTCGAGTCAGATTCCCCTCTGGAAAAAAAATGGTGTGGAGCTCCGGAGCTGGGCAGGCGCTTCCCTGCTTCCGTGTTTCCTTTGCAACTTTTAAGCATGGGGGTAATCGGAAGCAGAAAAGTTCTTGCA